GAGAAATGTTGCTAAGATGTTTGCTCACCTTTTATACACTGATTCACTTACATGGAGTGTTCTGGAATGTATAAAACTGAGTGAAGAAACCACCACATCATCCAGTAGAATTTTTGTTAAAATACTTTTTCAGGAACTGTGTGAATACATGGGTCTTCCTAAACTTAATGTAAGATTAAAGGATGAAACCCTCCAGTCATTCTTTGAAGGATTATTACCCCAAGATAATCCAAGAAACACTCGGTTTGCCATCACCTTCTTTACCTCTATAGGTCTTGGAGGGTTAACAGATGAATTATGTGAGCATCTCAAAAATACACCAAAGGTCATCGTGGCACAGAAACCAGATGTTGAGCAAAATAAATCCTCCCCATCCTCTTCCTCTTTGGCATCCTCCTCTTCAGAGTCTGACTTCTCTGACTCTGATTCTTACAGCAGTGATAGCAGTTCAGAATCTTCCAGTGACAACGAGTCTTCTTCTACCAGTAGTCATATCTCTGCCTCAGCTAAAGACTTAAGAAAAAGGGACAAGGGAAGACCAGAAGTAAAGAAGTAGATAAGTTGATCAGGAATCAAACACATGATAGGAGACAAAAAGAAAGAAGACCAGAACAGAGGCACGAGGAGACAAGGACTGAGAAAGAAAGAGGTTAGAAAAATACAGAGATCAGAATTTAAGTGATTCAAATTGGAGAGATCCTATCACAAAATACACATCAGATAGAGGTGTTCCTTCCAAATGAAATAATTACTGTAGAGTTGTGAATGACAGAGACCAAGAAGTGCACATAGATTTGGAAAATAAGCATGGTGATCCCAAAAAGAAGAGAGCAGAGAGAAGGAATTCTTTTTCTGAAAATGAGAAGCACAGACACCGAAATAAGGACAATGAAAATTTTAGAAGAAAAGATAGATCCAAGTCAAGGGAAACGAATAGGAAACATTCAGGCTCTAGAAGCGATGATATAGGTATCAGAATGGTGCCAAGAGGCGATGGGAAAAATCTAGCAGATACTCTGAACAGTCCAGAGAATCAAGAAGAAGTCAGGACTGGTGAAGAGAAAAGTCTCCAACAAAGCAAAAATAATTCTACAAAATGACATAAACTGGACATGACTTATATTCATTCAGTCGAAGCAAATTATTTTTTACATTGATTGGTAAATTTTATAGAGAATTCTTGTATAAAGTACCAGTTTGTATTTGTACATTTAAAAAATGTTTTAATTGTAATATGTTTTATAATTGAGACATTTCAAGGCTCTACACGTAAAATTATTTGGAGTTTCACCAGAAGGAAATGTTAAACCTATGGTAAAATGGAAGGATCTTCTCACAGGCCAATGGAGAGGGCCTGATATATTACTAACCAGTGGGAGAGAATATGCTTGCATATTTCCACAGGATGCATCAACTCCTGTTTGGATTCCTGATCGATTCATTCGAAATGCCCCTGCTAACCCAAAGACTGAGACGGGGGGCATGAATCCTGTTGAATCAAAGGAATAGGCTGGAGAAAAATGCAAACAAAATAAGGGTTTTCACTTCCTTTGTCCTCTCCTATTCCTCCTATAACTCCAATTCCTGCCTTCCCTACTACTCTTGTTTTTTGTAATCTGTTCTGTGAGTCCTTTCGCCTTTATCTGGGAAGGAAGGGCAGGCATCTACGGCTGTGGTGCCTAGCTCTGACTTTCAGTCTTTCTCTTTTACCTTTGGAGAAGGGGCAGGTGCCGAGGGCCACGGCACCTGACCCCAGCCTCCAGTCTTTCTCTTTTACCTTTGGAGAAGGGGTGGGTGCCAAAGACCACGGCACCTAACCCCAACCTCCAGATTTCTCACACCCCTTCTCAAGGGGGTGGCTTGGACAAAAGGATGTTAAAAATTCTTCTTTGTTGTCTTCTTATGATAAATTTATCTCAAGTTCAACTTTCCCAGAC